GTCACCACTTTTACGACTATTGTGGATACGGCGACCCCCATTAGTATTCCGAGTACTACCACGATCAGTACTATGGGGTACAGTTACCATCAATACCGCATAGCACGACTACTCCGGCGACGGTGACGGCTCTTATTATTACGGCTATTATTTCTATTCGACTGACAGCTACTAGTACGACAGCAACTACTACTACTATTTTAATTCCCACCACTTTTGCTATTGTTATGATTATAATTGTTCGTACTACTACTACTACTACTACTACTACTACTACTACTACTGGTGCGACTACTACTACGGCTACCCCTAGTACTATTCAGAATACTACTACTACTACTACTACTTCTACTACTACTCTTTGTTTTACTATCAGTACTACTCCTACTACTACTACTACTACTGTTATCAATATTATTATTATTATCACAACTACTACAACAACAACAACTACTACTACGACAACTACTACCACTACCACTACTACTACTACTACTACTACTACTACTACTACAACTACTACTACTACTACTACTACTACTACTACGACTACTACTAGTATTACTACGACGACTACTACTACTACTACTACTACGACTACTACTACTACTACTACTACTACTATTATGTCTACTACTTCGACAACGACTACAACTACTACTGCTACCACTACGATGACTACATCGTCTACTAGTTTTTCAACTACGACTACGACTACGACTACGACGGCTACTACCACTACTACTACTACTGCGGCGATGATTGCTCATACTGTCATTGATATTTCACATCGTCCTCGTATGTTTTTTCCGAGAACCATTTTCCCGCCAGTACCATCCCAACTACGACTACACATGCCCTGGACCTGGATAATCGACCCTTCGTTACTCGTACAGGCTAAAAGACAACTCAATGATTCGCGCGCTGACGCGTACATTCTACGGTGCGTGTTTTTTCAGAGGCCCAATGGTTACACATAAGCGTACCAGTTTATTTTGAAAACTTTGCAGGGCGACCCCGTCTGAAACATGTGCAAACGTAGCCCCTTGCAATGTGATGCATCCCCTCCTTGCCGCAGGGAAATGTATGAGTCTTCTGCGGTATGTAGCAGTTCGTCGGGGAAAGTAGGACAAGTTCGGGACGGCCAAGCTGGCGCCAAGGGGCGGGGGGATCCATGTTGCGTGCATCGCCCCACCCCCGTTTTTGGAATCATTTCCTTCCGCGAAAGCCATGGGCACGATGACTTGGAATAGCAAGCTGATTTCGTGTTGGGCTCGGTGCGTCGGGGGGCCATAGTTCTTCTTTCGCAAGACGCAGCAGTATCGAGCAACAAAGGCCCGGCACACACCAATCGCTGCAAGCGCGGTGGCGGATTTGGTCAGACTGGCGCAGGTAATAATTGGGCAAAAGGTCATTATACGGAGGGCGCGGAATTGATCGACAGTGTGTTGGATGTGGTCCGCAAGGAAGCAGAGGGTTGTGATTGCCTTCAAGGGTTTCAAATGTGTCACTCACTCGGAGGCGGTACTGGAGCTGGCATGGGGACGTTGCTAATTTCCAAGGTTAGAGAAGAGTATCCCGATAGGATCATGGAGACGTTCAGTATCATTCCGTCTCCGAAGGTCAGCGACACAGTCGTGGAACCATACAATGCGGTATTGTCCTTCCACCAGTTGGTGGAGAATGCCGACGAGTGTTTCTTGCTTGACAATGAGGCCCTTTATGACATATGTTTCCGTACGCTGAAGCTGACCACGCCCACGTATGGGGATTTGAATCACTTGGTGAGTGCAGCGATCAGTGGTGTCACTACTTGCTTGCGCTTCCCGGGGCAGCTCAATTGCGACCTGCGCAAGATTGCTGTGAACCTGATACCATTCCCGCGCCTGCACTTTTTCATGACTGGCTTCGCGCCCCTCACGTCCCGTGGCTCCCAGCAGTACCGCGCTCTGACCGTGCCGGAGCTCACGCAACAAATGTTCGATGCCAAGAATATGATGTGTGCAGCTGACCCTCGCCATGGCCGCTATCTGACCGCGGCGGCCCTGTTCCGCGGTCGCATGTCCACCAAGGAAGTCGACGAACAGATGCTTAATGTGCAGAACAAAAACTCTTCATACTTTGTGGAGTGGATTCCTAACAATATCAAGGCTTCTGTGTGCGACATCCCCCCAAAGGGCCTCAAGATGGCAGTTGCCTTCGCAGGTAATTCAACAGCCATACAGGAAATGTTTAAGCGTGTAGCAGAGTATTTCACGGCGATGTTCCGGCGCAAGGCCTTCCTGCACTGGTACACCGGCGAGGGCATGGACGAGATGGAGTTCACCGAGGCGGAGAGCAACATGAACGACCTTGTTTCGGAGTACCAGCAGTACCAGGATGCCACTGCGGAGGAGGAGGGCGAGTTCGATGAGGAGGAGGACGGCGAACAGTGAGGTGCTTCGCGGGTTTTCCACGCGCACCTGACCTTGCTTGTTTTTGGCCTTCGAATGACCGTTGGGCCGATGCATGCGTGCAAGGACGCAACTCGTGAGAGAATCCATGAAAACAGATAGCAGCCGCAGGACCTGAAAATAAAACCGACAAACTGATTAACCGGTAAACCGATAAACTATTCGGTTGATCGGTTTATCGGCAGATCGACCGATAAACCGATATGATTATATCGGTTTATCGGTCGATAGGTACGTAAGCCGATAAACCACTAAACCGACTCATCGCAAGCGTGTCCGAATCTCTTCGCAGTATGGCTTTACCAGTTTATCGGTTTATCGGTCTATCGGTATGTTTCTCCGTTTACCGGTGTATTGGCTTGTCGGTTTACCAGTGTACCGGTTTATCGGTTGATCGGTTGATCGGTTTATCGGTTTATCGGCTCGGAGTTGTCGTAGTTGTCCGAGTGGTAATCCGTCGAAATCTTTCTGAGGACTCCTGGAGAATCCTTTTGGACCACTCCGAGTGGTAATCCTTCTGAATCTTTCTGATGACTCATTGGTCCTGAGGAACTCGGGGATCCCAAGGAGTCCTTGCAATAACTACTACTACAACATCCACAACCGTAACAGTACCGTTTCCGCTGCTGTCACCGGTGCTACTACAAGTACAATTGATACACATTCTACTAATATTATTCCCATGCGTTACTATAGTTACTGCTGTTGTTACGGGTACTGATACAACAATAACTTCTACTATCATTATTACTACACCCACAAGTATTACTGCTGATGTTACTAATCTTGCTCCCATGGATTACTATCGTTACCACTGCTGCTGCTGGTACTAATGCAACTATAACTACTATTGCGATCACTATTTCAACAAGTATTGAGGCTAGCGCAACTATGCGCATTTGTTAAATGATCATTGCGGCTATTGCTATTACTACTGGTACAAATGTTAAGCTTACTTCTACGGCGCCACCAAATACTACTGTGGCTACCGCTGCGATGCACATGTGTTATTCTCGTGGTTGCTACTGTTATTCGTTCTAGCACAGCTATTAGAACTACGACTGCTCCTACTTCTACAGCTACTGCTACTGCTTCTGCTGCTCCTACTACTACTACTCCTACTACTACTGTTACTACTACTACTACTACTACTACTACCACTACTACTACTACTACTACTACTACTACTACTACTACTACTACTACTACTACTACTACTACTACTACTACTACTACTACTACTACTACTACTACTACTACTACTACTACTACTACTACTACTACTACTACTACTACTACTACTACTACTACTACTACTACTACTACTACTACTACTACGACCTACTACTACCTACTACTACAACTATTACTACTACTACTACTACTACGACTACTACTACTACTACTACTTCTACTACTACTATACTACTACTAACTACTACTACCTACTACTACTACTACTACTACTCCTACTACTTACTACTACTACTTACTGCTACTACTACTACTACCTACTACTACTACTACTACTACCTACTACTACCTACCTACTACCTACTACCTACTACCTACTACTACTACTACTACTACCTACTACTACTACTACTACTACTACTACTACTACTACTACTACTACTACTACTACTACTACTACTACTACTACTACTACTACTACTACTACTACTACTACTACTACTACTACTACTACTACTACTACTACTACTACTGCTACTACTACTACTACTACTACTACTACTACTACTACTACTACTACTACTACTACTACTACTACTACTACTACTACTACTACTACTACTACTACTACTACTACTACTACTACTACTACTACTACTACTACTACTACTACTACTACTACTACTACTACTACTACTACTACTACTACCTACCTACTACCTACTACCTACTACCTACTACCTACTACCTACTACCTACTACCTACTACCTACTACCTACTACCTACTACCTACTACCTCCTACCTCCTACCTCCTACCTCCTACCTCCTACCTCCTACCTCCTACCTCCTACCTACTACCTACTACCTACTACCTACTACCTACTACCTACTACCTACTACCTACTACCTACCTACTACTACTACTGCTGCTACTACTACGACTACCACTGCGACTACTACGACTACTACGACTACTACGACTACTACGGCGCTATTGTTGTTTATATTATCATTACAGCTATTACTATCATTCCCTGCTACTATGGATATTTGTAAAGCTACAACGACTATGTGGATGTTGATGATGATAATGATACTGCTTCTGCTTCTGATGATGCTGCTGATGATGATGATGATGATAATGATGATAAAAATGATGCTGAAGAGGAGGAGGAGGAGGAGGAGGAGGAGGGGAGGAGGGAAACGAGCAGGAGGAGGGGGAGGAGGCGGAGGGAAGACCAGTGCGTACTGGTAGCGAAACCACGTGCGTACTGTCAGTGGACAGAACACTTCTCACCCTCGGCCTCCATCCTCCGATGCCCTCGTCGCCGCCCCGGCGCGCGCCCCCGAGACCGAGTCCGTCGAGTCGACCTGCGACGACTTGGAGTCCATCGGGGAGCCCCCCGGCCAACCGAGGCATGGCGCAGAAGGGGCGGAGAGAGGCAGACCCGGACCTCCCTCGTCGCCAGCAACACCCACGGCGGGCAGTCGGTGCAGCTCGTCGGCCTCGGGGAGGCCCCTGCCGGGCGCGAGGACCGTGCCGGAACGCTTCGGGACGAGAGGCCGCTCCCAGGGAAGAGGTCCGGACCTCCTTGGGGTCCTCGTGGGGAGCCAACGGCAGGTTTTTGGCAATTCCCAGCCTCTGGGGGCCCACGCCGCGCCCACGACAGTCAAAGAAGGCTCAGGGTGGAAGTCTGGTCCACGGAGAGAGGTTCGAACTCTTGGGGTCCGGATTTTGAATGAATCATAGCGTTGGAGGTCTGGGCAGATGGGTTCGGAGGGTCGCGCGGCATCGCCGATGCATCGGCGTTTCGGCGCGATCTGGAGCGATTTTCTCCATTTCAATGTCGCTGTGGCGTCGCCGATAAATCTGCGACGCGGTGCGATTTGTACACCAGCTTGGAGCGTGACTTGCACAATGCGCACATGCGCTGTAGCGCCGACCCGCACGACGGAGGGAAGGGTGAGGGAGGAGGATTGAAGAGGAGGGAGGAGGGAAGATCATCGCATTCTATTCAGCATTCCCCTTGCGTGGTGTTTAGCTGTCTGCACCAGATCCTCACCTACATGCTCCTTCTGCCTGTCCTGTGCACGCAGGCGCTGTGGTGTACACCAGCGCTGTGTTGCACGCGGATGCTGTGGTGTACACAGGCGCTGTGTTGCACGTAAGCACTGTGGTGTACACAGGCTCTGCGTTGCACACGGCTGTCGCGGTGTTCACAGGCGCTGTGGTGTACATTCGCGCTGTGGTGCTCGCGAGCACTGGTGCACACAGGCGCTGCGGCGCAGATCGCCACCTTCATGCTGCTCCTACCCGTCCTCGGTCATCCCTAGGCATTCCCAGACGCCGCCGGCGCGGAGCGTGACGTCACCTGGGTGGGGGGGCCTGGCGCCGGTGACGGCCGTTATCTTGCGGAAAGCAAAAAGACAGGGTTTTTCGTCCCAGAGGCACGGTGGCGGATAACATTGGAAATTTGAAGATATTCGAGCCTCGCAGCCTGGTGGCCCCGCAATGGAGCCAGCGGTATGCAGTATCGAGAGGTGTAGGGAATAAGTGATAACGGGTGTGAAGTTGATGGGTGATATGAGAAAGGGAGGGAGTAGGGAGGGAGGGGCACCACGGGAAAGGGAAAGGGAGGGCTAATTGGGGAGGGAGAGGGATGACTAGGGAGGGTGAACGGAGAGGGAGAGGGGAGAGGGGAGAGGGGAGAGGGGAGAGAGAGAGGCACAGAGGAGATACAGGGCGGTAGGATGGATGAGCGGACGCAGGGGGATGGACCGAGCGATGGCACCGATGATCCCAGATCTTTGACGTCGCTATTCCTGCTCACGACCTGGGCCCCCGAGTTTGGACTTTTCTCGGGGCTGGCTCTTCTTCGAGGGCCTTTTCGGGCGGTCCCGGGGGGCTGGGTGAGGGCCCCCAGAGGCCAAGAAGGGGCAGCCCCCCCCCGTCGTGATATCTTTTCACAGCGCGGGGAGGTCAGGGGCTGCCACCAGCAATGCCCGTCGGCGCTGCCGGCAGCCGGCGGGGGGTCGGGGGCCGCGCCCGCGGCGGGGGCCTCTCCCCCGCCGGTGCGGTGTCACAGGTCGGGCCCGTGGTGGGTGCCCGCGGGGAGCGGTGGGCACACTCGGGGCAGGCCATGGCTGAGCGCTCGCGCAGCCAGAGAGGTCTGCTGCCACCTCTTGGCAGAAGAACGAGGAGGAGGAGAAATGAGGAGGAGGAGGAGGACGACGATGACGGCGATAGGACGACGGCTGGGACGACGAGGAGGACGAAGAAGCGCTCGCGCGGTTCCTGGCACGCGCACCTCGTACCCCTTCCCTTTGCGAACGCTTCCGAGAACGCGCTTGCAAGCACACGCCCCTTTGCCACAAGCTTCCGAGCACGCGCATCTGCGGCTACCTGGGCTCGGGTATTGCCAGATGCGTCTCTGGTCCTCGGTGCCGCCAGGATCCCCAGGCTGGGCCGGAGCACCCCTGACGAGGCCCAGAGGGCCCCAGGGGCTCCAACAATGGCGCGAAAAGCTGGGAGCATCTTGGGTCACACCTCCCCGACGTCGTGAGGAGTTTTTGACAACGTGGTTCCGCGGAGGTCTAACCTTTCCACTGCGATCTTCTCATCCCGAGTCGTCTTTCGACGGCCGCGGGGTTCGGCGAGGGCCCCCGGAGACCGAAGACTGCGGAAAACCTTCCGTCGTGATTCTCATGGACGACGAGCGAAAGAGGACCGCCCTTGGCAGCACCCGGCACGTGTCGGCCAGGGACCTCTCGGGCCAAGCCCTCTGCCGGATGCCCCCTCGGCACGGGGCCGTCTGTTCCGCGGCACGTGGAGGGGCTGGGGGTAGGCTGCGAGAGCTTCCTCTTGCGAGGGGAGAGGCCTGAGCGGGAGGTTTTCAATTCTGAGGGAGGATCATGATTACGATGATGATGACAATGATGGTGATGGTGATGGTGGTGGTGATGGTGATATTGATGAGGGTACTTGTGATGGACGGCTACGATGGTGTCGTGGACGATGAGGATGCTGCTGCTGCGGATGACGATGACGATGACGATGACGATGACGACGACATCGACGCCGACATCGACGCCGACGCCGACGCCGACGCCGACGCCTACGACGACGCCAACTCCGACGACGACGATGGCGATGACGATGACGATGATGACGATGATGATGATGATGATGCTGATGATGGCGATGATGACGATGATGATGACGATGACGGTGATGACGATGACGATGATGACGATGATAACGATGGCGATGACGACGATGATGATGCTGCTGATGATGATAACGAGGATGATGATGATGATGATGATGCCGATGACGATGACGTTAATGATGATGATGATGATGATGACGATGATGATGATGGCGATGATGGGGCTGATGCTGCTGATGGTGCTGATGATGACACTGATGATGATGCTGATGATGATGTTGATGATGACATTGACGATGACGTTGACGATGATGACGAGATGACGATGCTGATTATGATGATGGTGATACTGATCATGCTGTTGATGATGACGACGATGATGGTTATGCATATTATGATGACGATGATGATGCTGGTAATGATCATGATGGTGGTGGTGATGACAATGATGCTGATGCTGATGCTGATGATGATGCTGCTGCTGCTGATTATGATGATGATTGTGATGCTGATTCTGATGATGCTGACGCTGACGCTGATGCTCATGCTTATGATGATGCTGATGATGATGATTATGATGATGATGATTTTGATGACGATGATGATTTTGATGACGATGATGATGATGATGATGATGATGATGATGATGATGATGATGATGGTGGTGGTGGTGGTGGTGGTGGTGGTGGTGGTGATGGTGGTGGTGGTGGTGATGGTGGTGGTGATGATGATGATGAGGAGGATGATTATGATAAAGCTGATGATGATGATGATGATGATGATGATGATGATGATGATGATGATGATGATGATGATGATGATGATGATGATGATGATGATGATGATGATGACGACTATGAGGGAGAAACATGTTTGGATCGGAGAGAGGGTCTGGTCAGCGCTGTGGTCGGCCGGGTCCCTGCAGGTGATGCCCTGGAGGCCCGAGTATTGCCCTGATTCATTGCGGCTCTGAGGGAGCAGCTTCACGGCTGATTGGTCATGGCAATGCTCGGGCGGCCCCAGTGGCACTCAAGTAGCTCTGACCTGGCTGTTTTGCTGTTCCCCGGCAGGACCTGAGGGAGGGAGGCCACTTCATCGGGTCGGATGAAAAAAGGGGGGGGGGCGAAACCTTTTGCGTGCAGCTGGTTTCGGCCCCGGCGCCGTGCGCTTCCCTCGATGCATGGGCGCCTCTGGCACCGGGAAGACCAGCTACGTGAGCTGATTCGCTCCCCCCTCCTTGACTATTACCCTCCTCTCCTTCTTCTTTCTCCCGGCCCGAATGGAGAAGTCGGGGCACTTATCAGACGCATTTGAAGTCAACGTGGAAGCGGACGAGCTCGCCAGCGTCCCGCCACATTCAGCCATCGGTCGCCTGATTGGCAGGAGAGCTTCGGTGGGGGCATTGTGCCCAGGAGGTTTCAGACCCTGGAGGATTCCTTATCTGATGAGGGTGGCAGTGATATCCATGGCCCATCCTGGCTCCTCATCCAATACCCTCACTGTATGCCAGACCTGGTCATGGGAGATGCACGGTGAAACTTCCTGCAATCCTCGAGTTTGTCCCCGTGCGCATTGCTGCTTCATCTGCTTCTCTTTCAGCTGTCGTCTTTCTCGTACCTGCTCGCAAGACTTTCGGCCGCCCTTCTGAGTGTGTGCTTGCCCAGAGGAGCCCTCAGACGACGACAACACCTCCGCATCTGGCAGTGCCGCCACGCGTGGCGAAGAAGGCACCAGCCAGAGGCCTCACCGGCCCGTGAGTGAGTGAGTGAGTGAGTGAGTGTGTGTGTGTGTGTGTGTGTGTGTGTGTGTGTGTGTGTGGGGGTCGAATGGCGGGGGCGGCAGCCTCGGCATTGGGTCCTGCCTCGCCACCCTCCTGCCGTCGGGCTCGTGCCACACTTGTGGTGTCCTGGCTCCTCACCGCTCCTTGCCGTCGCCCTTTGGCGCGCACGACACTCTGCGCGGCTTCGCTGAGCCTTCTTGCCCTGTTTTCTTGCGCCCGCCTTTGGGGCAGCCCCTCGTTCCCGCGCCTCGCTGTCTTCCACGTCGTTGGCCGCAGCTGTCCTCCTCTTCTCATGCTGCCGAGCGGGTCCGTCACACGGTACTGCGTGTACTCTCCTTGCTATCCACGCCCGGATTGCTGATGCCGTTCTCTTTGCCTCATGTTGCTGTGAGGGCATCACTCACCGTATTGCGTGTACCCTCCCCGATATCCACGCTCGATGGCTGATGTCGGTAGGATCCTATTTTAAGTGATGCTTGAGGGCCCAGCCGCCGCGCGCATTGTCTGTTCGTTTTCTCCTCGTCGCCGCGCGCGAGGCCGCTACCACTAAAAAGTGTGTGTGTGTGTGCCACTTTGGTTTTACAGTGCCTCATGCTTTCGTTACTTGCACCTGTTTGCACGGCCGTGGCTCGACCCTTTCAGCGCGACGCGTTCGACTAAGTTCGTCCGCAAATGGCACTTCCATCTGCCGACCGCGCATGAGGTTCCTCTGTGCCGCCGACTTAAAACTGTGTGTGTTTTTTGTCTGTGTGTGTGCGTGTGTGTGTGTGTGTGTGTGTGTGTGTGTGTGTGTGTGTGTGTGTGTGTGTGCGTGCGTGTGTGTGTGTGTGTGTGTGTGTGTGTGTGTTTGTGCGGTGGCCTTTTGGTCTCCTGGCTTGTTGTCTCTCCGGGATGTCTCGTGGGCGCGGCCTGGCTGTGCCTTGCACCTGTCGTGGTGGCCAGGGCACTGGCGTTCTTGCGCTCTCAAGGTTGTCCGTGGCAGTTGTCACGGCCACCGCTCATGGTCGGCGCCGTTTTCCAGAGGTAGCTTGTCCAGCGCTGGCCTTACCGCCTTGCTGCTTGCGCCTGAGATTGTGTGCTGGATGGCATGGCTGCGGCCTCCTTTAGTTTTTGCGTCTGCATTGCATCTGGGGTGTCGCACGTGGGGGTGCAGGTCGCATGTTGTTGGTTTCAGCTTTATGTCAGCTCGATCGCTGGCTGTTTTCGTTGGCGTAGCTCGGTGGCGGGTTCGCTTTTATGTTTTTTTCTTCACTTGATTGCCTCGGGTCGGAGTGGTGCGACCTTGAGGTGGCGCGTACAGGTACTATACTGCTTAGGTGGTTGTTTTTTTCGTCGTTCGGATCCACCCGCGAATGGTTGCCGCAGCATTGGCCGCGGTGGGGTTGCTCTTCAACGGCGGCGTCCACATTGCACGTTGGCCACTCAAGCGACTGGCCACCACCCATGGATTTTCCTGCGCTGTCCACCACCCATGTGCGCCACCGCGTGAAGCGGTTGCTGACGCCGTCGCCCGCGTTCAGCTTCGTTTCTCGTCCAGGCTTTGGTTGCCTCGAACGCGCGCGTTTGTTCGCGCCACTTGCAGTTGCACGGCGTTTCGTCGTGTCTGTTGCAAGCCTGGTGGCGTCGCTTGTCGCGCTGGTGCGCGTTTCGCGTCGCCGCATAGCTGGCTGGCCTGGCAGTCTTACAGTGGTTCCCCGCCTCTCTGGTTAATTCGCATCAGACTGTATTTTTGGTTTTACAGTGCCTCCTTCTTCGCACCACCTCCACCAATCTGCATGGCCGTGGTTGGATTTTTCATCACGGCGCGTTCGACTAAGTTCGGTCGCAATTGGCACCTCCACCTTCCGGCCGCGCCTGAGGTCCGTCTCCGCCGCCGAGCTAAAGAGTGTGTGTGTGTGTGTGTGTGTGGGCGACCTGGGTAGCTCCGAGCTCGCACCCACATTGCCCCCGCCCTCCATATTCAGTCTGTTTTGGCTGCGGCGTTCGGTGGCGTAGGTTCCTCGCTCTGTATAGCGCACGCCTGTACGTGCTGCTCTGCCGTGTGCTTTTTCGCCGTCGTTTGGCCGTGTCGCCCTACTGCTGGTCTTCGTCTTCGTGCGGTGCCACATCTTTTCTTTCGCCACCCTCGCGTGGGTGCCCGTAGGCGGTCGATCCAGTAGGACCCGTTTCTGAGGGCCCAACCGCGCACAATAGTTCTCTGCTGCCTGCTCGACTTGCTCCGCTTCGTCGCTGCGCGCGAAACCGCGACCGCCAAAGAAGTAGATGTGTGTGTGTGTTTGTTTGTTTGTTTGTTTGTGTGTGTGTGCGTGTGGCCGCCAGTGAATTGCCATGGTGGACGCACAGTGGAGCTTATCTAGTGGCCTTCGGCCCATCCCGCCACCTTGTCTGTATCGGGTCTCTTGGGGGGCCTCTTGGGGGCGTCTTGGAACACATCTTGGGGTCATTTTCGAGGTCTCTCGGAGCTTCGTGGGAGGTTCTCGGAAGCGTGTTCGACGCCTTTGGCGGCCGCCTGACGGTCTCGGGGGCCATTTTATGGGAAAGGACGCGAGCTATCAGTTCGACTTCCGCGCACATGACGGCGAGTTTGTGTGTTTTGCTGTATGTGGCAATCTGTTGTTCTCGACGCGACGCATTTTGCGAGCTGACTCGCCTGAAGGGTCCATGGGCCTGCGCCCATATTGCAGCCACTACGTGGACGGGAGGGAGGCGGCCGTTTGATTCCATGCTTCCTGTCCTTCGAACATTTTTCTGCCATAGCACGACGTATGTTGAGGGTCTCCCCTTTCACGTATGTTTTGAGGAAGTCGGGACAGCAGGGAGGTCGCGCGACACCTTCGGGTTCGGAGGCCGATATTTCGTGTCCCGCTTCGGACCTGGGCGGAAGGGCAGTCAGCCAGAATCGACGAAGCACCGAACCCAGCCATGGCCCTGGATGCAGCCTGCCAGGACTCTTCTTCCCCCCAGGGCCGAGGACAGATGAGGAGGGGGAAGGATGTGAGGGAAGTGAGGAAGGGGGGATGTTCCTTACCCTCCGGTCTTGGCGCGTGTTTGTCTTGACGGTCTCCCCGTCTGGGTTTCCGGGGATCGCAGGTCCGTCTGGGTCTTTCCCCCCTCCGGCTTTCGTGTTCCCCTCCTCCTGCTTGTGCTGCTGCAGGGAGGGGTGGGGGTGGGCCGCAGCATCTGTGGCTCCGGAGATCGGCAAGAAGGGCGGCGCCCCTGAGTCGTCGTCGAATCGACTTGCAAACGGTTTTCGTGAGTCACGGCAGGACGCGTGCTCGAAAATTGACGGGAACGTTGCCGCCTTCACGGGCGAACCAGGACCTTCGACCGGTAAGTATTTGACCGGGTGGGAGGTTTGGCCCATGGTCCATTCTTTTCCCATACGCATGTTATCAGCCGAAAGGCCCGCTCTCGCGGGGGGATGAACATCTCGGATTCGCTGGTCGCGAATCCCGAATCTCGACGACATAATCTCGGACATTTTGTTCGAGGTTGAAAGGGCCGCTGACGGCCGCGCTATGACGTGCGAGCGGTCAGCTTTCGCCGCCACGGTTGGAGTGCATGGAAAAACGGGTGATGAAACTGCCCTTATAGGTTGGAACGCCGACATGGCGACGCCCGCAAGTTTGTCGAATAGCGGGGCCATTGCAGCGGGGGGGCCTGGCGCTCGCGGGCGTTGCGGCGGGGAAACCTGGCGCTTAAATCGTTGCGTCGGGGAAACCTGGTGCTATGGGAAGGTGGGCCGTGTTCAGGATGAATTCGGAAGAGCCGGGAATGCGGGGGGTGTATGCCTTATCCCTTTGATGATGTGTTCCCCCGCGTTGTCGCACACCATGGCAAAACCGAGTTTCGCTGTCAGCCAGGATGAACCAGAGCACGAAACAGACGCAAACCTCACGACCGCCTTCAGGGGTATATACCGATGGGCGTCGAATAGACGCGGTCCATAAAGATGAGAGTCGAACTCACGTGGACCAGCCCGATGAGCGTCGAATCAGCGCGAACCATGAACCCAATGAGCGTCGTGTCGACGCGCCAGTGTTGCCGAGCCACCTGTTGGACGTGTAAGATGCCTTGCAGGAGCAAATCAGGCAACGGCGAAGGCAATCTCCAGGCCATCCGCGGTGCATAAGTGTTCGCGAGGGCCAACCGTGAGCGCGGCGACCAGCAAGCCCGGCCGTTGCAGAGGAAGCTCGGATGCTGGTCCAAATTGGCCAGTTAACCACAATCAATCCGCCCAATCATCGATGCTGAAACCCGCGTTGCTGTCGAAGCCCTTGTGGCCAAGAATGCCAGGGATCAGGATAAGGCTCAGCAACAGCGACAGACTAGCAATCGCTACCTCCATGAGCAGCGCACGGTATTGGGCTAACGATTCAATGAGGTTGAAACCGAGCAGGGGAGCAGTATTCTATGACATGAGCGGCTTGATGACATGCTGTGTGAACTCCAGACAGATGTCGGAACTCGCAGCAGCTCGCTCAGAACAAGGAGCTGAAGCAGATCAGGGGTCAGATGGCGGAAGCCGGAACGGCCGTGAATGGTACAAGGGTGAACCGCGCTGTCCTCCAATATCAGCTCAATATCGCGGAAGTCGAGCTTCTACAATTAATGACGTCATTTCCACGCGCAGCGGCCAACTTCAGGGCCACATTCGGTGAACGCCTTAGCCTGGATAGGATTGGACATCAGGCAGGTGCTGAATTTGCCAGGTTGGATAAGTTGACTGGTGCACTTAACAATAGAGTGGGCGATTACCGACATTGGTCGGAGGGGCGTTTCTCTGCGATCTCTAACAGGCAGGCGTCGCCGATTACGAGGCGCGTGAGTCCAGTAATGGGGGTGCCGCAGCCTGTGTTCATGTCGCCGCAACCGAGCGAATTTGCGGAGTGGGCAGGATCTGATGCCAGACCCCACTGGCAGCAACGTAATGCGTCCTCGCACCCCCTGCGCGTGAGTTCGCGGCGGGGATGCCTGGCGCCTCGCGCGCGGCGCGCCAGCGCGCTGCGGCGGAGCAGTCTGGCGCAGATCGCGCTGAAGACAGCAGGTGCCCGAGACGAAGTCAGCGGAGGCATGGCCATGGCGCCGCGTCTAAACTTGAGGGCCCCTTGCCAGCGCGAACGCGCCGCGCCGATAACGGCGCGGTGGGCCCGATCGCCCTTCCAGGACGAACCGCGCGAAGGTGCGCCGCCCCCGCCCATGGGGGGCGACCCTCGCAGCGTGGGGGGTGCGTCGTCTAATTATGGGCCGTAGAGCGCGCGGGAGACGCAGTTCGGATGCTGCTGGACGAAGCGACGTGCCTGGAGGTCGAGAGTCCGAATTCCGAAGCCTACCTGCTGCGCCGTGCTGTCGACGTCAGCTGGAAATGCATGAGGCGACTCGGCTTCAGGCAGACCGGATAATTGCTTCGCTTCGCTCCGCGTGATCGAGGGCGCCGCGGCGACGTGGCAGTCCCTTGCGGGAGTGGCATGCTCGAGGCACTCATCGCGCAGCAGCATCTCCAGATATGATGACTTCTGAAGGAGGGTCAACGCGCTGAAGGGAGAAACTGAAAGCAACGACTGGCTCGCCAACGGGCGACAAATCCTCTCTGTGATTCTGGGCTGGTACTGGCTGGTCGAAGCAGGCGGCTGCGTCTTTGCCTCCGCCCGCCTCATTGCCGCCGGGATGAAGGGCGACAGCCTCTGCGATTCCATTGAAGATGGGGCTGCGCTCTCCTGGGCGTGAAGGCCCCGCGTGAGTCGCCCATCCGTGGGCCCCTGTCCAGTGCGAGGATAGCGCCATCGCGACCTTGATGGTGACCTGGGGGCACATCGCAGGATTGGAAGAGGCGACGCGCATGAAAGCTGCGAATGGCTTCGCGACGAGCGCCCCGAATTTCCTGACGGACAGCGCGTGCGAACGGCGCGCAGGGACATCGCGTTGGCGGATCGGGGCCGCTCAGCTACGTCGGCAAGCGAAGGAGTGAACAGTGGTTGGATTCAGAGAGGCGCCCGCGCATCGCACTGCTGCCCGTGGTATCGCCCAGGGCGCTGACAGAGAAAGAGTACGGGGCCGACTAGCAGGTCGGTGGCTCGCAAGTTCCGCGAAGAGATCGCCCTTGCAGGCAAGTGCTCCAAAACGCGGTGCGAGGGAAGGGGCGGGCAGGTGTGCTGGCGCCGAAGGGGCGGGGGTGTGCGAGCGCGGGGGTGAATGCGCCTTCGCGCGCGTGGTCGACGGTGGAGACGCGCCCGCGAAAGCGTCGCAACAGCGTGACCTCCCAGAGCGCTCGCCGCCCAGGAGCCGCTCTGGCCCCTATGGCGGAGCGTCCGACAGTTCGCCTCGGCCCCCGAACGGGGAGATACGGCGCCTGGCTTGCTCGAAACGCGGCGCGCGGGGAGACGCTTCCCCGCGAGGATCGAGCAAGTCTGCGCTGGGCCGCGGCGGTGGGGGGCCGCCGCCGAAGCTGGCTCGCGGTCGCGAGCGGTCGGCTTTCAACGATTCAGGACGAGGGCGCTCGAGTAGGCCCGCGGCGACGTGTGTGCCCTGGCGGTCGAAGCTGCCGTGTTCGCGGTCGCCGTTGGCTGTCCCGCGCCGCCCTCCTTCCGGGCGGCGCGGAGGCGCGGAGGGGCGCGGAAGGGGGCGGGGGCGGGGGGCAGGCGTGCGTGCGCTTGGGGTGGGGGAACCTGGCGCTGAGCGCCCTTCGAGGTTGCCTGACTTCGCGGCAGGGGACATTCGGTGCTCCGCGCGCCGCCAGATTACTCGCCCCTGCGTCGGGGGATCCTGATGCTGGGCGTCCGCCGGGGTCTGTCTTTATTGCGGCGGGGGCACTTGGTGCGAAGCGCTCGCCGAGGTCTGTCTCTGTGGTGGCGACGGGGCCCGACGCGAAGCGCTCGCCGAGGTCTGTCTCCGCGGCGGCGGGGGAACCTGGCGCTGACGTAATTGCGGCATGGAATCCTCGCGCTGTGGCGACTCAGTCTGCGGTGGTGCGCCGCGATGTTCATGTCTCGCTTTGCCCGTGGCGACGCCTGGTGTGTTCGCGGCGCTGCGCATGTCTTTTGGAGTTAGCGCCGAAGCCGAAGGTGATGTAAGGTGTGAGCTTGTTTGCTTCGCTGTCAGTCTCAGTCGCGCAGCGCCAGGTTCATTTTCCATGCAGTTTATAGCCCTGTACACCGCATCTTAGGAATCAACGACTCGGCAAACGCGCGGCTTGCATTGGTGTCCGACTCAGGATCGAGACCCCGGCGTCGTACGCCAGGCTCTCCCGCGCTTGCCCCTGAGGAGGTGCCGCCCGCAGGGTCCTGGAGCCAGAGGCAGAATCATCGCTGGGGGTAGGCGTTCCTGGCCCCGGGACCACCCGCAGAACGGAGCCTGAATGCCGAGCGGCGGCATTTTCGCGGCAGGGTAACTTGTTGCCATGGGGCTGGTTCCGCGCATATGGAGCTTTTTTGATTCGTCCTTGTTTTTTCTTTGTGTCGCATGTTTCTTGTTGGTCCTTTCTGTCGTCCCATTCGTTCGCGTTTGTCGTCGCCTTTCTCTTTCGCGGCTGTATTCGCCTTTGAGTGTTGTTTTCGTCCATCATTGCTTTAGGGTGACGGACTTCGTCGCTTTTTACCTGCAGCCGTTTCGTGAATGTGCTGTTCGCATGCCCCCTGAGCTGCGCGCGTGCCAGCGTGGTGACTTCCGTCGAAGTCGTGCATCCACGTGCACGAGCTGTTCCCCACAGTCTTCACACATGCCATAAGGGGACAAGCTTTTGATTGGGGCCGCGCGGCCGCCCCGCCTCCAGGCGGTGCGTTTCCCGTGCTCTTCCCTGCTTCAGAAAAATTGTGCCCGTTTTCGTCCTTGGGTCCTGGGCGTTTTTCCTTCCTCTCTCTTCTTGGGTGGGGTCCTGGGGTAAAGTTGGCCCAATAGCCCCCGGTTTGGGTTTCTTAGGCGGGGGGTGTCCTCTGCCCTTCGTTCTTGGCGCGTGTTTGTCTTGGCGGTGCCCCCGTCTAGGTTTCGGGGGGTCGCGGGCCCGTCTGGGCCCTTCCCCCGCCGCCCTTCCTCTTCCCCTCCTCCTGATGGTGCTGCTTCGGGCGGGGTGCGGCGCGGCATCTGTGGCTCAGGCGATTTGCAGGCAGGGCGGTGCCTTTGGGTTGTCGTCGAGTCGTATTGCAAACGGTTATTATTTGTTTGCTTTCTCTTCGGGGTGTGTTCGCGATTCGCGGCAGGACGCAAGTTCGAAAAACTGACGTGGACCTGGCCGCTTTCGAAGGCGAGCCAGGGCCCTCGACCACCGGTAAGGTTTTAACTGGTAAGGTTTTGGCCCATGGGCTATTCCATTCCTATCCATAGGGGAAGGGATTGGGGGGGTTGGATGGGGCGGGGAGGAGGAGGGGGGGAGAAGGAGGAGGGGGGGATAAGGATGAGTTGGAGGAGGAGGAGGAGGAAGAGGAGGAGGAAGAGGAGGAGCAAGAACAGGGTGCCACTTGGTCTTGGTCCGGAGGGAAGGACATGGCGGAACCGATGGGAACTTCGAGGGCCCAAATCGGGGTGACGTGAATATGAAAATTGGCAGGCAGCCATAGTTGACGAATCACCGAATCCAGCCATGGCGACAAGGATGGTTCCATTTCGATCCGATTGATCCAATTCGATGTCGATTCTGGCTGGCCCGACCCGTTTCGATTCCGATAGTCCAGCGATCCGATGCGGCCCGATTGCGTTGCGCTGTTGCGCATCCTGGCGCCGCCGATCCGACTCGATTTGGATTCCGTTTCGAGGCGGTCCGATTCGATACCCGTTCCGGAGCGATCCGATTTCCCGATTCGATGTTGACAGTTTCTGTCAGGCCCATTTGGAGTCGAATTTTGGGCCCATTTTGGAGTCCTTTGGGCCCATTTTGGGGGCCCATTTTGGGCCCATTTTGGGCTCATTTTTGGGCCCATTTTGGGCCCAAAAAGCCCATCTGTCGCATCCTTTGGGCCCATTTTGGAGCCGAACTGCCCATGTGTTCGTCCTCTGCCAGGCAGGGCGCGCTCCCCCCCCCCGGCGAGAGCCCCCAGGGGGGGCGGCCCGCCGGCGCCCTTCTCCCATGGGGGCGTGGCCGCATCCGCGTCGTCCGCGGCCCATCCCGGCCACGACGACGCCAACGACGACGACGATGACGACGATGATGACGCCGACGCCGACGCCGACGCCGACGCCGACGCCGACGCTGGCGCCGACGACGACGCCGACGCCGACGCCGACGCCGACGCCGACGCCGACGCCGACGCCGAGCCGACGCCGACGCCGGCGCCGACGACGACGACGACGACAACGACGACGACGACGAGGACGACGATGACGACGCCGACGACGACGACGACGGCGGCGGCGGCGGCGGCGGCGGCAGGTGCGGCGGCGGCCGCGACGGCGATGGCGACGGCGATGACGGCGGCGGCGGCGGCTGCGCCCCGCGAGGCGCGTGGCTGCCTCCGCGCCCGCGGGGCGGGATCGCACTGCCTCGGGCGGTCGGCCCGACGCTTCTGGTTCCGCCAGCGGTGCTGCTCTCGCCGCCGTTGCCGTCGTCGTCGTCGTCGTCTTCGTCGTCGTCGTCTTCGTCGTTGTTATCGTCGTCGTCGTCGTCGTCGTCGTCGTCGTCGTCGGCGTCGGCGCCGGCGTCGTCGTCGTCGTCGTCGTCGTCGTCGTCGTCGTCGTCGTTGGCGTCGGCGTCGGCGTCGGCGTCGGAGTCGGCGTTGACGTCGTTGTCGACGTCGTGGTCGTCCCCGTTGTCGTCGTCGTCGTCGTCGTCGTCGTCGTCGTCGTCGTCGACGACGACGTCGTCGTCGGCGTTGGCTTTGTCGTCGTCGTCGGCGTTGTCCAGTCGTACTCGTCGAGATTCGATGCCCGAGGTTCGAGGTTTGAAGTTCGGGAAGTGAGCTTCCGGATTTTTTTTGCGTGGACGTGGGCCGCCGTCGCCTGCATCGGCGTCGTCGTTTTCGAGGCCGTCTGGGTCTTTTTGGCGCCACGGCTGCGAGCGGCTCGGGTAGCCGGTGCCGATGGGCCCTGGGAGCGGTCCGTGGGCCAGTTCGGGGGGATTGCAGCAGGGGTGCAGTCGTCGTTGTCGCCGTCGCAGCCGTCGCCTCCGCCGCCGCAGAGGAGGCGTCGTCGTGGCAGCCGTGGTGGTGGTGGTGGTGGTGGTCGTCCTCGTCGTTGTAGCAGTCGTCGCGGCCGTCGTGGTCGTGGTCGATGTCGTCGCCGCCCTCCTCTCTTTCTTCCTCAAATGCGGAGACATGTGCGGACCCGTAGATTGAATCCACGAAGCTGCGTGAGTCGAAGGTTGCCGACGCGCACTTCTGTTGCTGTTGCGGAAAATTCGCTCATTTTTGCTGCGCCACCACACGCGTCCGTAATTTGGCTGGACCAGACGTTTCGCTTGAGATTGCCTGGTTATTATTATTGTTCTTATTATTATTCTTATTCTTATTCTTATTCTTATTTTTATTAATATTGTTTTTATTATTACTATTACTATTATTACGATTATGATTATGATTATAATTATGATGATGATGATTATTATTATTATCAACAGTCACACGGATGGAGGGAAGGTGGTTTCCAAAATGCTGTTGTCGCTTTAGTGCCTCGCGCATACGTTTCGTCGAATGCTTCCAATAGCTACGTGGATGGATACTGGCACGTTCTCTGAACGGGTCTCTCGCTTGAGACGCCCTCAACAAAAGTTACCACAAGGGAAGCATTGTGCAACCGCCACGCGCACGGAGGGTTGCTCTCTCAAAACGTGTCCCTCTCGCCAGAGATGCTGTTTGCGTCCATGGCCAGACGTTCAGAACATGTACAGAGCAACTGCACGGGCGCAGAGCGGCCCATTTTCGACGCGGGGCTGTCGCTGGGCACAGCCTCGCGTGCAGGACCCCCCACCCCTATAGCACTCCCTGTGGCTCGAGGGCTGCAGGGCGACCTCCTGCAGACGGCAGCAGGCGGGCAGGCAAGAGCCGCGCCCCGACGGCGCATCGGCAGAGAGCAGCAAGCTGGAGGCGTACCTGGAAACGACATGGAAGAAGCTGTGCGCGCAGACGCCGAACCAATGCACTGCTTCGGGGAGCAAGCGCCGGAGCCTTCGTTCCGGAGCCTCGCGAGGGAGAGCTGCATCTTCCCTCGAGAAGGGGAGTGAGAGCAGGGAGGGAGGGAGGGAGGGGACGCGGGGGTGGGGGAGGGGAGAAACTGTCGACGGCATTCTTCTACGGCCTTGCGCCACTCAACTGGGGCTCCCTGCAAAACAGATTGCAAGCGATCTGGGTCATTTCCCGCCGCCGGTAAAGCCTTTGTCCTCTGCAGGCGCGGGCGTCTCCTGGCGCGAGCACTGGCCCACTCTTGGCAGCCTGTGGACTGCCACTCCTGTCTCGAATACCGTGCTCCTTGGAAGGCTGTCTGGACAGGCTGCTGCAAGTTTACCATGGAGTTAAAATGGCATCATAGTAGAAGCGCAGATAATGGTTAGGCGGCTGCTGTTGACCTCACTGTCGTATTGCTTATTCGTAGAAAGTACGCAGGCGGAGTGTTGTGGATACGTCGGAGGCACTTCGCTTGAAAGATGTCCATTCTGTCCCTTTCTGCCTAGAGTAGCATACAACTTTCCAGCCCATACAATAGCTTTGAACATATGCAGACTTCCAGCACCTTGGTTTTGTGCTGTTTGCTCGTGCTGGCGTGCTTCCATACTGTGCAAATCTTTTTGAATGCCCCTCTTGCTTTCACAAGCCTTCGTGATACCTCAGCTCTGGGATTCCCGTTAGCACTCCACCCAAGATACACTGCGTGATCCTTGCACGTGATCGGCTTGCCATCCAGGCCTGCAACAAGCTCCTCTGAGCGGATTCTCAAAAGTATGGTTTTCGACGCTTGGAGCTGCAGACCAAAGGCCCTCCCGGCTTGTCCAACAAGATCCGGATGAAGCTGAAGAGCTGCGGGGCTTGCGGCTGCGAGCGTCGTGCCGTCGGTATAAAACACACATTTTGCAGTCGCGTATATGTATGTATGTATGTATGTCTGTCTGTCTGTCTGTCTGTCTGTCTGTCTGTCTGTCTGTATGTATGTATGTATGTATGTATGTATGTATGTATGTATATATATATATATAGTTAGATAGATTCTTCGAACCATTCTCGTAAGCAGACCTCTCCGGTTCTTTGTCGACCGCCTCCAGAAGCACCGACACGACGATGATGAGCAGATCTGGTGCTACTGGGGCGCCCGCTTTCACGGCGGGCCCGCGGGCCGCCCGTCCGAGGCGCCGCGCGCCGTGGAAGAGCAGTGCTCGCAGGGACCAGCTGGGAGGGGGACCGCGGACGGGAGGGTGCAGTGCAGCATCGCTGGTGCATCTTGGGTTCGCTCTGGCCCCCCTCCCCTCGCCTCCTCCCTCTGGTCCTCCTCCCCTCTGGTCCTCCTCCCCTCGCCTCCCTCCCCTCGCCTCTCCCTCTCTCCCCCGCCTGCTCCTCTCCCTCCAACCCTCCCGGCCCCCTCCCCTGTCCTGCACCTGCCCCCTCCCTGTGTGTGCAAAGTAAGAGCCTTAAATCAGTCATCAACCTCGCCCTTCTCTCGGTATGATCGACCGGGGAACTCCCTTTCTCTCCGCTTCTGCTCCTCGGTGCGCCGCTCGCGCTACCCTCCCGCTCTTATCATTCGCCCCCCTTTTCTATCCTTCGCCGCTCCCTGCCCCCATTGTCCGTCATTCGCTCGTCCCCCCCCCCTCGTGCACCTGCCCCCTCCTCCCCCCTCGCCGCCGCCTGCCCGCCCGGCCGCCTGCCGGCCGCCGAACTCCTCTCGGACGGGGGGCACCGCGGGCGGCGGCCAGGGGGAGGGTCGGGTATAGCCAGGACCCCAGATAAGGGGACCCGGTTAGTAGTAGGGCCCTGGAGCACCCAATTTGGCCAGAATCACTAAACCAGGTCTGCCATAGCTGGTGTTTTTTCGGGTGACGGCAGTTCCAGTTAGTGGAACGGGGCGGGGGGGGCGTCCCCCAGTACACATCACTAAACCAGGTCCCACTAAACCCAGTTCTGTTAACGCCCGGGGGGGGGTGGGCGCGCCAGGCTCCTTCCGCGTGGGCAGCTACTCGGCGCCCGCGCGGGCCTTCGAGGAGGTCCCGCGGGGCACCGCCCGGCGTTGCCGCCGCCGTCGCTGCCACCGTCGCTGCCGCCGCCGCCGCCGTCGTCGTCGTCGTCGTCGGCGGCGGCGACGGCGTCGTCGTCTCGTTTTTTGAGGGGGTGCGGTGGTGCTCCTTTCCCCGCCCTCCTCTAGCCCACCTCTTCAGCAGCCCTTCCCACTCTTACGCCACAACTACTCAATCTGAATGCTCGTCTCGTCTCTCCCCCGAAGACATTCAGTGGGCAATGCGCCTTCAGCATACGTGTTTGTCACGCATGAATTGAAAGATGATGTTTTATGCAGTTTTATGCTCGGAATGTTTTCGGTGCTTCGATATAGTGGTACTTCCGCTGCAGCGTGGGCCTCATTTTAGGATCGGCACTTTGCTTCATGCGGTCAGAACAGCGCTCTCGCCCCAGCGCGGGCCACTTTTCTGGATCCGAGTCTCCCCGCTCCTTTCGTTTCCTCCGCCTTCCCCTGGTCCTGCTCTTCCCGCTCCTCTCACTCATGCTACGGCTGCTGCTTTTCCTCCTCGTCTTCCTCCTTCTTCATCCCCCTGCTCCCTGCTCATCCTCCTGCTCATCCGCCGACTCCTCCTCCTGTTCGTAAAGCTTCCTTTTCTGATAGTGCATGGCACGTTGGTGTCATTTTGGAGGTTCCAGGTCCACCATGACACCCGCAGGCGGATAAAGACATCGGCGCAATGGGAAGGGATGAGTGGGAGGGGTAGGATGTCAGATATGGCACAAGCGCACCTATCTTGTCCCGCCCCCTCCCCCCTCTCTCCCGCCTCCGCCCTCCTCCCTGCCCCCTCCTCTTCCTCCTCGTTGTCGTCGTCCTCTTCTCCTCCTTCCCTGCTCGTCCTCCTCCTTCTCCTTCCCTTCCTTCACCTACTCTCCTACTCCTTCTACGCCTTCCCTCCCCCGACTCCCTCCTCCTATCTTGATCTTTGCCTCCCGTTCCTCTCAACTCCTTCTCGCTCCCAGTCCCAACCCGACTCTTTCCCTTCATCGGATTTGCTCAGACGCTTCAGGCCAGAGACTGGGGTCGGGCGATGGGGTCTGGGTGGCTGCCACCAGGGTCGAGTGGGGCAGCCGTGCAGCTGGGCTTGCCTTGTTCAGCGGACAGGGGGCCCTCACAAGACCACATAGGGATTTCCCCTCCCTCCCCTCGAGACCTCGTCAGGGATTTCCCCTCCCAGGGCTGAACCTGAACGGTGTGTTTCGTTTTCGTTTTGCTTCCGTTTTCCCCCGTTATGTCTTCAACCCACCTCTACCGCAAAGCGAAGCCGAAACGAAAACGGCCCACGAGATCGCCAAAGACTCCGTTTAGGCCCAGCCCTGTCCCCTCCCTCGAGGAGAAAGCCCCTGACCAAAGCCTGGCTGGCCTGCTGCCCCCCGGCCCTGCTGCGGCTACAGGGCCCACCTCGATCCGATCGATCCGATCCGACATCGAGCATGGCCAGCCCGGTCTGATTCCTCCTCCTCCTCCTCCTCCTCCTCCTCCTCCTCCTCTTCCCCCTCCTCCCCCTCCTCTCCTCCTCTCCTCCTCCTCCTCCTCCTCCTCCTCCTCCTCCTCCTCCTCCTCCTCCTCCTCCTCCTCCTCCTCCTCCTCCTCCTCCTCCTGACGTTTCTGACGTTTCTCGCTACACAGCGTCTTATCGCGCGCCCCGCGGGCGCGGAGCGCGCCGCAGCGGCCCACAAGGGCCGTGCGGGCACTCGAACAGCGGCCCCGGGAACCCGACCCCGAGGAGAGCAGGGAGGACCAGGGACCAGATATAAACCTCAGAAGAGGGAAGAGGGGGCCGGGTTTCTAAAAAAGGGGGGCCCGACAGGGCCCATGGGCGGGCGCCGCGCGCGCCCACGCCCGCGGGCGTCAGGCAGCGTGGCACGGCGCACGGCCAGGCCGACGGCCTCCTCGTGGGCCGGCGGCCGCACGGCGGCGGCTGGGCTCCCTTCGGCGCGGAGCGCTGAGCCCAGCCGCCGTGGGGGCGGCTTCGAGGGGCTGGCTGCCCCCCGCAGTGGCGACCTCCACCCTTCGGCGCCGCGCGCTGTGGAGGCTCGCCGAGCCACTCGTGGGCTCCAGCAGGCCAGCACTGGCGGCTGCTCTTCCCTCCTCGTGCCGACTATGGCCAGCTGGCCTCGGCCCCTCGCATGCCACGCGAGGGCGGCGGGGATACACCCTTCGGCGCCTCGCGCTGTGTATCCCACGCCGAGGGGCAGGCTGCCCCTTCTCTTCTGGTAGACTCTGATGTTCTCGAGCCTGTAGTACTGCTTGACTCTGTAGTGCGCGGAGGTGTGTCCCTCGTCCCAGTCGTGCTGGTCGAGGTGGTACTTCTGCCTATGCCATGCCCAATCATGCTGGTCCTCGTAGTACTGCGTGGCACTGTGGTGTCAAGCCTGCAGTACTCGACCAAACGTAGTATATCAGATGCCCTCAATCATGTAGCACCCGACGCTGGCGTACAGGTAGGCGCTGATGTAGAGGGGTGGCTGTGGTGTGGAGGTCGTTTGCTTGTTGGCTGAGTGTGGCTTGTCGAGCGTGCTGGTTATGGTCGTTGGGAGGTCGGCTTGTTGCTGGTGTTGTGTTGATGGTCGTGGGCGCCCATGGCCTCCATGCACCGACTTCAAGTGGGGGTCTTGGCTGTCCCACCTCGTCCCGCTATGGCTAGGGGTCACTGTGCCCTCGGTGGGGGCGAACCCCAGGCCTGGTACTTATTATGTCGGAGTGGGATGTCTCGGCTGTCCTATGCTTCGCCCTCGGGCGCTCGGGTAGCTCCTCCTCCGCAATGGGGATGGTGGGGGTGGCGAGCTAGGGCGGACCGCGGGGGCGCGGGTAGTGGCCGTCCTACCCCCCCCCTGCCCCTCACCATCCCCCCTGGTGGGTGCGGGTAGTGCTCGTCCTTCCCCCCCACCCTTCGAGCCCGTCTCGAAGTTTGATCCATGCCTCACCAGGGCAGCGTTGACTTGTCAAGAGGTGTGCAGGGCCGTACTGGGGATGAGGTCGATGTCATTCAGTAGTGCGGCGGCGTCGTGTGAGTCGCCCGCTTCCAGCCAGCTGGAGACCTCCGAGTTGTATGCTACCAGTCACCGCCAAGATACCTACAGCAAAACGTAGCGACTTGTGCCTGGGGTGTTCCCTCGCATTCGGGGCTTCCCCAGGACTTGCGTCCTAACCCAAGCAAAACTTGGCGACGCTGCCTGAGGTCTTCCCACGCATTCGGGGCTTCCTCAGGACTTGAGTCCTGACGCCGTAGTGCTTGTCGCCGAGGCCGCTCTTCGCCGCGAAATGCACTGCAGTATCCACCGTGACCGTGCCCATGCCTGTGGTGTTCGATATAGTGTAACATGAGACACGTGGCCGTATTTGACTCGATAGCACCACCACATGATGCGCTTGGCACAGTCGTGCTGGTCGCCATGGTGGTGCTTGTCTCCACGCTGCGCTGGCCTGTGGTACTCGGCTCCCACATGCTGCTCGCCATGATACTGCTTGACCTGCTTGCATCGGTGGTGCGCGAGTCCGAGGTACTCTAGTCAGTCTTGCTGCCCGACTGCCAAGAGATGTCCAGAGATAACAAACCACTTACAGTGGGGCCTGGGCGCTTTGCTGCCCATACCCAGGGAGATAGATACGCATAGAAAACAAATACCAGAGTTGAAGGATAAGCCAATAGAAACACCAATAAACATACTCGAGGGGGGGCACGCTCCGTCGCCTTTGAGGGATCGTGCCCACCCGTATGGGCGCTACGGGTCCCCCCCCTCGAGAATGGCACGCCATCGCAGTCCATGACAGGGCCATGCGTGCATAATCATATATTCTCGCAGGTCACTCCAAGTATTGAGTTCATACAGTAGGTACGCTGACCCTCGATCTCCTGCTGCAAAACTGTGATATTGCCAATCTGTACTCCAATCTGTAATGCAATCTGTGATCCAATCTGTAATACTGCCAATCTGTACTCCAATTTGTATTCTGGTAATCCGTCCAGTGGACGTGCTGCAAATATGTAATAATACAAACAACAATTTATCCCGAAATATTTGTGCAGGCCGTCGTAATACCGCGCGCTGCTGTGTCAGCTGCTAGCGCCGGTGGTTACCCCATGTCCTGTGACAGTCGTGGCCCAGCTGTTCTGGCACAATGTAGTGGTCCAGGGGGGCATAAAACCTGTGATAGCATTCATCCGTCTCGGCCCACAGTGCCTCTTCGTCAGCGAGCTGCCCCCAGTGGGCTGCGAAGGCCCCTCCTCCCCCTCCTCTCCTCCTCTCCTCCCTCCTCCTCCTCCTCCTCCTCCTCCTCCTCCTCCTCCTCCTCCTCCTCCTCCTCCTCCTGTGTTTCGACGATCCGATGCGGCTCGTGGCCTGCATGGCGCTGTGGTGCGTCCTGGTGCGGCTGGACCGGTCTGATTGCGACTCTGTTCCGATGCGGCCCGACCCGACGCACATGCCGACTCGACCCGATTCCCGACTCGATCGCTGATTGATTCTGGCCCTCCTCCTTGGTATTGGTGGGGCTTTTCTTCCACCTGAGCTCAGGAGGGTTCAAGAAAACATATTGTGGGGAGCCACGTCAGCGTTTTGCTCCGCCGTGTTTGTCCGAGTGCAGTGTATCCCTTGAGCCGGTAACGCGCCGTATCCCGTTGACTGGAGCCGCGCGCGCAGAATCATTCTCTCCACGCTGCACACGCCGCGCGGGCTCCGTCCGGGGTCCTGCCCCCTCGCGGGCAGCTCTCTGGAGGAGCCTGCTCCGTGCTGGCAGGAGTCGGAGGGCACCAACTATGCACCAACACCGATCCTGGCCCAGGATCACCCTGGGCCCAGGATCGGTGTATATATGCCTTCTTGCGCAAGGCAGGAGGGCGTATACACCGATCCTGGGCCCAGGGTGATCCTGGGCCAGGATCGGTGTTGGTGTATAGTTGGTGCCTTCCTAAGGAGGCCTGGCAGGGGGCCTGCGATCCGATGTGCTGCGATTCGATCCGCCGGCTGGGGCCGCGATTCCGAGTCGGTTCGATCCGGTTGGGTCCGCCAGGGCCTGCAGTGGCCGGCCAGAGCTGGGCGCTGTGATCCGATTTTGCTTCGATTCGGGGCGAATCGCTGGCGTTCTGGTCCGTCTGAGATCCGATCCGATTTCGCGGTCAGATCCAGCTCGAGCCTGGCTGGCGCCAACAGGAGGCCTGGTGCCGAGACGCCTCTGGATGCAGGACAGGCCCAAGCCTTGGAGGGGTGCCCTCATTTCTTCGTGTTTGGGCGCTCCGCCCTGGCGTGCTCTTCGCTTGGGGTACCTCCGTGGGCCGCGGGCCTTCGGCGAAGGGGTTGCTGATCTCGAGTGTCCCTGATTGCGCCACGGGGACTTCCTGATCACCAGTGATACGCATGACGTGCTTTGCTGTGGAGGCGCCAGTGGATAGCGGAAGGGATTCAGGGCCGAGTGAGCGTGATCTTCAAAGAGCTCATGTCCTCGTTGCTTTCACAGTTTGGTGATAGTGGACATGTTGCTTTACGCTGCCATTTCTTGCTTGGGGTGAATGCGTGCGCGTTCGCATCGCAACGTCTGGTCGCCTGGTTTCGAGCCTGGCCTCTCTGCGTAGCGTCCCTTCAATGCTGCTCGAGGTGATCGACCCATGGGTTGGGCTCGAGCAGTACAACATTGATCGGCTGATGGGGGCATGAAATAGGTGACTCTTCTGGCTTACCCAGCGAAACGCGGTGACGCGCCAGGGCTTGCGATGTTCCTGCATGCCAGAAGCGTGGACTCGTGAAGAGGTCAGCTGCGTAGCATCCAGCAGCAAGTTACGAGTAGTACGACATCGTTGGGAAATCATAACTTGGGCACAATTCCAGCCGTTGTGAGAATTCATCGGGCGGTCGATGGTCGATGATTTCATTGCATCTGTTGGTAACCCCCGAAGACGTGAAAGAACCGATCGACCATGCAATGTTCGTGGTCACTCCGCAGTGATTTGCTGGGGGAGGACTCCGTGATTTCAAACATGAAAGCACATGTGACAGTGGACCGTGCTTTTCCGTTTAACATCTTTCATCCCCCGCCTAACGTACATGAGTTCGCAGGCATTTGGTCCCTTCGTAGTCCTGGTTGCGCCGCGAAACTGTTGGGAATCGGATGACGACGCGGATGCAGCAACGATGGGCGGGGTATTCAGTCTTCACCACCCACCAAACCACCCCAACCCAACCCGAAGGCTTCAATTTGCCCTCCATTTCCAGTGGGGGGGGGGTCGGGGAACATCGAGAAAACACGTGTGGAACCCGTACCCCCCCCAACCCGAAATTCGGGTCTTCGGGTTGGGTTGGGGTGGTCTGGTAGGTAGTCAAGTCTTCTTTATTTTGCTTCCCTGGCTCCTCTTCTTCCTGTGCTCCTGCCCAGACCTCCGACGCCCCGAAGTTTTCGACCGTTTCCTGGGCGCGATTGTGCATCTGGAGTCGTCGCTTGACGGTCCTGGCGCCCGCAAGCTGTCTCAACATCGGAATGGCGAAACACACATCCCGCGTGAGGTTTTCGAGTCGCCAGAGGTAATTGTTTTTTCTGCTCCTGTGGATCATCCTCCCCGGCTTTGCTTATTCGTCGTTGTCGTCAACACATTGGACGGACTAGGGGACCTGAAGCCGACAGAAGCTGATCTGCCGAATATCCAAACACCGTGTCGGACTCTCAGAGACAGTGTGCACTACATCCGTTGCTGAACTCGTCAGATAGACCTCGATTTTTGGTAAGTTCTGTAAGTTTAAGTTCCACGGCAGAGCCATTGGATTTAATTGAACCCGCGCGCTATGCGAGGGGCCCGCCAGACAGGGAAGGAGGAGAATGAGACGGGTGTGGAGCTAGACAGATGGAAGGAGGATAAGAGGGAGGAGCGAGGGATGAGCGATGGGGAGGAAGAGACAGAGGAGAGGAGGAGAACGAGAAGGGGCCCGCCAGACGCATGGAAGGAGGAAGGTAGTGGGAAGGAGGAGAACGAGAAGGGTACGTGGCTCTTCCTGCTTCCAGGGAGGCAGACGGTCTGCATGGGCCCCCGCGGCGCCGGGTCCCTCTCGGCAAACTGCTGAGACTTTCAAGCATCGCGCAGGACCCCTCGCGCCGATGTGGAGCACATCGTGTGCGACGGACTGCTCACGTCTGCCACCTGGTGGTGTCGACCTCTTCCCTCTGCTGACTCCAGTCTGACAGTCACTCCCTCTCGCGACCCGTTCCGATCCGATGGACCCAGCTCGGCATCGGTTGCAGCAACTCTGATCTGGTTCGAATCTCAGGCTTCGACGATCTGACGCGGCCCGCTTCGACGCAGGTCCCAAGTCGGCCCGACCTCTCGAGCCGAGGTCGACGGACCCTGGCTCCAGTCTGGCAGTCGCTGGGAAGCGGGGTCCTGGTGGAAGCGGGCCCAAGGCCCCGGGGCTTGCCCCAGGGCAAGCTCGTCCTCCCGCGTCGGTGTTTGGTTCTCCCGGGGGCCCGCGGAGGGAACCCAGAGCCAAGGAAGCGGCCAGAAATCTCCTGGACCCCTACCCTACGAACAGAAAAACGGAGCCATTTCGGGATCGCTGTCTCGTGCCGAGCCATTTTCTGACGGCCCCGGGGCCCAGTCAGGGCCCCCAGGCGGCAGGCGACGGCGAAGAGCCTCTGCCCCGATTTCTGTCAGGACGTTGGATGTCTGGGGCCCCTCGACCAGAGCCTGCCGTCTCACTTCAGTGTGACTGCCGCTTCGCTCGAAGGAAACAAACTGTACAAACATAGACTTCTACGAGGTCCGCGCGAATTTCTTGGATCGGCGCTGCATCCCCTGGCGGCGCATCCGGCGCCGCCCCTGGCGCGCTCCGCGCGCCAGGAAGAGGAAACCCGCGCCGATCCGAGAGATCTGCGCGGACCTCCGAGAGTTTCTGCTCATGCCGCTTTTGCTTCTCAGGCCGCTCCTCTCCTTTAGGTGGTCAAGTATGGGAGCTGCTGTTCGACCCAAAGAGGCTCTCAAATTATGGTTGAATGAGATTTTGTGCGATTTCGCGGACTTAGCGGGATTTAGCGGGTGCTCCCGTGGGGATTTGGTGGGATTTCGTGGGGTCGCAAGCTGGATTCAGTGGGATCTAGTGGGCTTAGTGGGGGCCATGGAGTCTCATTAATTAGGCGCTCGTGCGACTACCTGAGGCTCCCATGCCTGGCCACCTAACCTCCTGACGTTCTCCCCGCCTCCCCTCCTGCTCTCCCGCGGCGTGCCAACCCCCTCGGACGTTCTCTGCCAGCCGCGGCGGTGCCCCGCGGCGCTCCTGGGCCACGTTTCTTCAGGCGGAGCCGTGCGCACTCAGAGGCTGCCGACATCTGCGGGGAGGGTGAGGCAGGAACATGCATATGGTCATTTTTGGGGTTGCTTTTCCTCCTCCCCCTTCCCCCTCCTCCTCCCTCCTCCTCCTCCTCCTCCTCCTCTCCTCCTCCTCCTCCTCCTCCTCCTCCTCCTCCTCCTCCTCCCCTCCTCTCCTCCTCCTCCTCCTCCTCCTCTCCTCCTCCTCCTCCTCCTCCTCCTCCTCCTCCTCCTCCTCCTCCTCCTCCTCCTCCTCCTCCTCCTCCTCCTCCTCCTCCTCCTCCTCCTCCTCCTCCTCCTCTACTCCTCTCCTCCTCCTCCTCCTCCCCTCTCCTCCTCCTCCTCCTCCTCCTCCTCCTTCCTCCTCCTCCTCCTCCTCCCCCCCCCCCCCTCCCCCCCCCCCTCCTTCCTCCTCTCTCTTCCTACCTCCTCGTTCCTCCTCCTCTTCCTTCTCCTCCCTGCCTCCCTCCTCCCTACTCCTCTCCTTCTGGTCTTTTTCCCTGTGGATAACTCTTCCCCTTCCCTGTGGATACCTCCTCTCCGCGTGCACGCGCAAGCGCACGCGCGCGCACGCGCACGCACACGCACACACACACACACACACACGCACACACGCACACACGCACCCGCACCCGCACACGCGCGCGCGCACATGCTCACACGCGGGCGCACACGCACGCGCGCGCACACGCATGCGCACACGCACACACACACACACACGCACGCGCACACGCACACGCACGCGCAGGCGCGCACGCACATGCACACGCACGCACGCGCACACGCATACGCACGCGCAGGCGCGCACGCATGTGCCAACGCGAGCGCGCACGCGCACACGCACACACACACACACACCACACGCGTGCGCACACACACACACGCACACACGCACACGCACGCGCACGCTCACGCGCACGCGCACGCGCGCACGCATACGCGCACACAAACGCACGCGCACACATTTTTTGCGTCGGCTGCTGGGCAGAGGGCGACTGCTCTGGCGGTTTGGCAAGCGCACGCGCACGCACGCACGCACGCACGCGCGCGCACCCGCGCGCGCACGCGCACGCGTACGCGCCCACGCCCGCGCACGCGCACGCGCACGCGCACGCGCACACACACACAACACCACACGCACACGCACGCACGCACACACACACACACACGCACGCGCGCACACACACACACACACACACTCACGCACCCCCCCCCACCCCCCCCCCCCCAACACCCACACACCCACACCCACACACCCACCCCACCCCCACCCCCACCCCCCCTCACCCCCACCCCCCCCCACACACACACATACCCACCCACCCACCCACGCACCCACGCACCCACGCACCCACGCACCCACGCACCCACGCACCCACGCACCCACGCACGCACGCACGCACGCACGCACGCACGCACACACGCACACACACACCCACACCCACACCCACACACCCACACACCCACCCACACAC